AGGCCCAACCACAAAGGGCAAAGTTATATGCAATTTATAAATTATCTAGTGCTTGTACATCCCAGCACCCTTTTCTCATCCTGAAGTTTAGGCGCCCCATTCCGAACCTCCCCCCAGACCCTGGCAGGGCATTGGTCCGGTCACCATGGAACCGTGTAGACCATTGGTATCAGCCCAACCCCATTTGACTTTGTCTCATGAAACCAAATTGCTGGTGCTCAGCAGGGAATGAGGCTGCGGATTCCGTCAAAGGAAGCCGTAGGAAATGGTTTAGAGGGGTCATTCCATTTCTCATTCCCTGCCTATCGCACCAAGCCAAACTGGGTGAGGCGTTTCCGATGTCCCTCTCGTGTTTCCCGAAGCGACCCAGTTCCCCGCGTCGATCGCGATCCCAGGAGAGCGCCTTGGTATACACGGGTCTGTCCAGCAGCCAATTGGTGTGGGCCTTTCTGGCGACCATGACTGCAGCTTGGCCAGAGGCTGAACAAACGATACCTTTCGGGGCCCAAACATCGCAGGAGTTTTGCCTTTGGAACAATGGGTCAGTGCTTTTTGTTTTTGTTTAGGGTACCCACCTATTTTGTGGGTTTGAAAGGAAACCGCGAGGAACGACATTTGGGGGCTCCCTTAGAAAAGACACACCCAACTTCCAGGGGTCCATTTTTTTGCTCCCCTTGAGCCACACCCACAAAACTTGTAGAGTGTTTGACCTCATCTTCGTGGCAATGTCCAATGATTCACTGTAAACCCAAAGCCGCACCCTGTGGATGTGAGTCTGAGGTGTTTTGTCACTCTGGGTAACCTGAGGTAATCCTTCGCCATATTCCTTGTGTTGTTCCCTTGCCTATTGTACCCAAATTCTCCAAACCAAAGCTAGGTTATATTTCGCGTAGCTAAACATGGAACAGCGTCAGACCATATTTTCTGTGTATTGCAGATGTTGGCCAAGAATCACTGGACTCGGATCGACTTCCACCTGCGAAAGTTTGAAACGGAGGGCCATTTTTTTTAGGATTTTTTTTAATGGTTTTTTTTTTGTTTTTTTTTTTGAATTATTTTTGTTTTTCAGGATGGGTGGCTTTTCGGCTTTTTGGCTTTTGTGGCTTTTACGTGGGTTTTTGTGCCTTTTGTGGCTTTTCATTTCGCATCCTCCGCATTCACAGTTCCTCTCTTTCGCATCCTCTGCATTGCCAGTTCCGCTGGCTTTTTGGCTTTTGGCTTTTCGCATCCTCTGCTTTCCCTTGGCCTTGGCTTCCTGCATCCTCAGCATCGCAAGTTCCTCTCTGCCCCCCGGCCACCCCCTTTCGATTAAAATGCACGCCCAATTGAATCATCACTTTTTCGATCATCATGCGACAGCTGCTTTTTAGATTCTTTGGCTGCCGTTTTACAGGGATTAGTTTGCCCGTATTTGAATCCTCACTTTTACCATGAGGCCTTGGCGCAGAGGCACTGATGCCCCCCCCGCTGCTTTTTTATATATATTTGTTTGGCCCATTGAATCATCACTTTTTTCAATCATCATCCCCCCCGACTTTTTGCCCCTGATTGAATCATCACTTTTTCGATCATCATGGGGGGCTGCCGCCCCGCCCCAACCCCCTCGCGCCTTTAATTGAATCATCACTTTTTCAATCATCATGGGGGGAATTGCCGCCCCCCCCACCCCCGCTACGTTTTAGGTGTTTTACAGGGATTAGTTTGCCCGTGATTGAATCATCACTTGTACCATGCGGCCTTGCCGCAGAGGAACTGATGACCCCCCCGCTGCTTTTTTATATTTTTTTGGCCCTATTTGAATCATCACTTTTTCAATCATCGTGGGGGGGCTGCCGCCCCCCCCAACCTCCCCGCTATTTTTTGGACTTTGTGGCCCTAATTGAATCATCATTTTTACGATCATCATGCGACCGCCACTAAATTCTTTGCCCCCAATTGTTCGATCATCATGGGGGGGGCTGCCGCCCCCCCCAACCCCCCCGCTATTTTTTAGACTTTTTGCCCCTGATTGAATCATCACTTTTTCGATCTACAGGGATTAGTTTGCCCGTATTTGAATCCTCACTTGTACCATGAGGCCTTGCCGCAGAGGAACTGATGACCCCCCCGCTGCTTTTTCACTTCTTCAATCATCGTGGGGGGGGCTGCCGCCCCTATTTTTGGACTTTTTGCCCTAATTGAATCATCACTTTTTCGATCATCATGCGACCGCTACTTTTTAGATTCTTTGCCCCTAATTGTTCGATCATCATGGGGGGGGCTGCCGCCCCCCCCAACCCCCCCGCTATTTTTTAGACTTTTTGCCCCTGATTGAATCATCACTTTTTCGATCATCATGGGGGGGCTGCCGCCCCCCCCCTCCCCCCCAACCCCCCCGCGCCTTTAATTGAATCACCCCCCCAACCCCCCCGATATTTTTGGAATTTTGGCCCCAAATTGAATCATCACTTTTTCGATCATCATGCGACCGCTACTTTTTAGATTCTTTGCCCCTGATTTTTTGATCATCATGGGGGGGCTGCCGCCCCCCCCAAGGGGGGCTGCCAACCCCCCCGCCTTTAATTGAATCCTCACTTTTACCATGAGATGCGGGAAGCCAATTTGCTGGTGATGCTGGGGATGTTGGCTGGACATGCGGGGGATGTTGAAAACGATGTTGATGATGTTGACGGACGCTTAAAATACGTACATTTCGCAAGAAAATGCTTTAAATTACAGCACTTTAGTAGCCAGGACGGAAAACAAAAAAACATCCCAAAATAAAACAAAAAAAACTCCCAAATCAAATCTCGACCCGTTTGAACAGCCACCTTCCAAGCAGAGGTCCCATCTTCCTTTCGGGGCATCAAGGCGTGTCACCAAAAAAAATTGGCAACCCCCGGGATTCAGAGGCTTCAACAAATTCACAGAGTCAACAAAAGTCGACCTCGTCATAAAACGGGTGCACAAATCCAGGCCTCTGGACTCGAAAGATGGAGTTTGCCCAAATGTCAGGGACCCCAGACCTCCCGTAGGCTCCCGTGTCAAATCAATTCTGCTCTAGTTGGTGGCGGGGGTTCCCTGCCCGGTTTTTTGCGCGACACTTGAAATGGGGATCCGGGCTTCAGAGCGAGATCTTCTTGAAACGGCGGAGAACCCATGACTTTTCTGGCATGACTTTGACTTGATAATTCTCAGGTAACGAGGAAACACAAGTTAAAGGCTACAAATCCAATAGCAGACAGGTCGTTTGGCCGATTTAAAAGGAGATAATGAGCACCTAAAAGGCAAAGCTCAACAACATACGGCAATCGTCTGGTAGTGTTCTGTTGTTCAGAGGTTGATGTCGCAATCCTGCACGAGCAAATCAGCAAACAGCTTGTTCTTTGAACTGCCCTGGCTTAAAGCGAACAGAAAAGAAGAGCCAACAACATTGAACTAGCTGGTTCTCTGTGGGGAGTTCCACAGGTTTTGGGAACCCAGAGGTGAAAACTACAAGGCATGGTGCAAAGGCAGGTTGTGACGACATGTTCCTTACAGTTATCCTCTGAAATCCAGAGCGAGTTTCTCAATTTCACTGATGACATTTGCGTGAAGAGAACACAACTCGGGTAGACTGGGGTCATTATTTTGACGGTTCTGGGGGTTATCAAAGTGAGAAAATGTGGTTGTTTCCCTTAAACCCACCACTTAAGGGGTGACTTTGATCATGGTTAAATTGTGAGGCCACTTAGAAAGGGCAAGTTGGACGTTGTGAAGCGATCTAAATACAGCTCCATGTTTATCTTTTTGGGCCACTTCCAAGGATTCGTTTGCTTCACAACGGGAATTTCACCCATGTTTGGGTTACGAAGACGGAGCCTTTCTACAAAGGGACGTAATTCACGAAACAATATGGGGTTCGCAGCCTTCCATTTGCTTCAGCGGATATGTTCCTCTTCCTTCTGTTTGACTGCTAAAACCGTTTCGTTTGGCGACACCTGTAGGTTGAATCGGTTTGCAACCAGCAGCATTTTCCGCAAACAAGAGTGGGGGTACCATGAGGCATCTCAAGCCAGGCTTCCATTTTTCAAACCCAGGGGTTCCCTTTTTGGGGTACACGACCCCTGGCATGGTTGTTGTTGGGAAACATTTCACATTTTTGCTTACTGTGGTTTGGCTGGACATTCCCACTTAATTGCCCTCTTTTTTTTTTGCTTCCCTTCCAAGGTCAACCAAGCTGGGTTTGAGTCACTTTGGGTAGTAAGGCAACAAAAAAAAGGTCTCAAGCGGTTCAATGCCAGGCATGGACTTTTGGCGTGACCGTCCCGGTGGTGAGCTTCCTCTTGAGATGAGGCACGCTCGGCGCATTCGGCGCAGTGTCCATAGATACCCCGCTGCAGGTCGGCTCAGAGACATGGACAGGTCGTGGCCATTGGTCACGCTTGTCCTCCATTTGCTTAAGAATATGTTTTTATTCTCCCTTGTTGGTTTTAAAAGGAATTCATCACTAGTGGAAATATCATGTTTTTTCCTGGGGCCTGAACCAAAGGGAAGTTGTGAAATTGGGATTGTTGGTTTCCACTTTCTTTTAAAGTGGGCTTTGCTCGAAAGTGGCAATGGGAATCAACTAGTTGATTCTGTTCCAGGCCCAATGGAGCACCCATATTCGAGCCGTGAACCCTGACAAGAAACCGAGGGAGAGAGAACCCACAAACTTGACAGCAAATCCAGCCTCTGGTTTCAACCTGTCCACCTTCAGTCTGGAGCCAAGCCCAACCTTTATGATTATATAACACGTGGATTTGTTGTGTTTTTCTTCAAACAGCATCATTAGCTTGCACCGGTACCTGAAGGTTTTCTTGAAACCAATTACTTGGGTCGCTGTTTAAAAACACACCGCCGCTGGGGTGGGTTTTTTGGATTTGAGACACATTGGGTTTACATGGTCGATGTGTTTGCCAATGAAAATCCAGTGTTCTTTGGCCCAGCGAGTTTACCGTTTGCCTCATGTGGTTGAGCATGCAGTTGCCGTTCCATGATGGTAGTTTTTCTTGTGGGTTTTGTGCCCCGCAGGAAACATACAATTAATCCTGAAGAGGGCACAACCATGTGTTCTTGGCTTTGGTACGATCTTGAACATGTGTTCTCCGCAAATTGCAAAACATCCTCACGAATTGGAACCCCGGATTTGACCCGCCCATCCTACGCGGCGGCGTGTCACCCACAGTGATCCGGAGGGCACTCGGGACGCTGGTTCAAAATCAGCAGTTGAGACCTGCCAGGGGCGGTTCACCCCGTTCGATGGATACAGCCAAAGCAAGCTGCGAGTCGTTTTTTTCGGTCAGAGAGAGAGAGAGAGAGAGAGAGAGAGAGAGAGAGAGAGAGAGAGAGAGAGAGAGAGAACAAGAGAAGAATATCAGAGCTCCTGGGCAATGCGAGGTTCCTAGAAATTGCTTGCCGAAGTTGATGCGAGCGCCCAATACAGATATTTGCCTTTTAGAAGGTGGTTCTAGTACCTGGTTTAAACATGGGGTCATAGCAAGGCCTGATTATGTAACCTTGAACAACTTGAAACATGTTGTTTAAAGGGAAGTAACTACGTCCCAACCATCGTATTCCTTCTGATGTGGGGCTGCCAGCATACTTCTGCTCATTGTTCCCCTTGACCCTGATTTTTGACCCCTCCAATCCAGCGAGAGGACTTCTTCAAGGCGGCTCCACCGTGAGACCCGCCATATTTGGTCTTCGGATCCCCGAAAGTCCGGTGGCAGTTTCAGGACCTGTGAAGCCAAAGAAAAATGACCTGCAAGAAGTTGTCGACCCATGGCTAAGTTCATCAAGTTTCAGAGCCACATGCGGGGTACAGGGGTAGCATGGCCACGGCACAGACTCAGAGCCGTCACCAGACTCAGGCCCCATATGTTCCTCTGACGGGAGCGTCACCATGTGGGTTTCTATGTGGGAAACAAAGCCATCCACAAGCCTCTGGCCCGGTGTTCCCCTTTCTTTCCTGACTTCAAAAGCTTCCCTGGTTGAACAGCTACCTCCCTGGAGTCTCCCATGGAGACTCGCCCTTTAAACATGGCGCTTTTTGACCCCGGATTGGGTGGTAGATGACCCCGTGCCTTACGGCTCACGAAGACTTCCCCATACCGAAAAAGGGCCCGGTGGCGCGGTTTTCCCTACTGAAAGCACCGGAGCTCTGTGAAGCGAGCGATTTTCGAGCGAGGTCAAAAAGACAGAGCACTGCATGAGAGTGGCATTGGCAGTTTCTCACAAAGGTGCAAGGGGAAAACCAAGAGGACAACCATTATTGGTCCCTTACCCATTTTGGGCAAGCGGCTTTTTGCCGACATGTGCATCCAGTTCCCCCTGCAGTATTGGAACGGTCAAGAGGGGACTAATTGGTGCCACCCCTTGTTCTTTAAAACAACTGTGCTGTGCTCAACCTTTAAAAGCTTCACCCGCCCGTCCCGGAAGTTTTGTTCTGACTCGGTTTCCCGACATGAAAACAGCTTTCTTAGGTCTTTGCCTGAAGCCTGCCGGATATTCAGATTGGCTGGGAGCAGTTCGATCTCGGGAATACCTTGTGCACCTTGGTTTTGAGGGGAAACCAAGAGGAAAACCGAAGGCTGTGTTTGCCCCCCAATATTTTGAGACATACCCACATGAGCAACGGACAAAATTACTGGATTGAACCGTCGCCCTATTTGAGGCACCCAGTGCATCTCAGTTACCCCGTATAGGTAACTCATAGGTAAATACAGGTAAATGGGTGTGTTTTTGTGGAGACACACTTGTTTGGCTGTTTTAAAAGGAAACCAAAAGCCACACCACCCTTTTGGGGGAGGAACACACACACACACACACACACACCCACACGCACACGCACACGCACACGCACACGCACACGCACACGCACACGCACACGCACACGCACACGCACACGCACACGCACACGCACACGCACACGCACACGCAGACGCACACGCACACGCACACGCACACGCACACGCACACGCACACGCACACGCACACGCACACGCACGCGCACGCGCACGCGCACGCGCACGCGCACGCGCACGCGCAGCGCACGCGCACGCGCACGCGCACGCGCACACGCACGCGCACGCGCACGCGCACGCGCACGCGCACGCGCACGCCCACACACACACACACACACACACACACTCCGGTTGTTTTCAAAAAGTTCAAGGTGAAATTTCCAACCAAGTAGCATCCAAGTTGCTTGTTGGTTGAGAGAACAAGGAAGCACACCCCAGAATACAGGTACATGGAGCCACGACATATGAGCCACAATCAAAACCCGGGTAGATTAAGGTTAGTAAGGGGTACTCCCAACCATAAATAGCTGCAGCCGCCTTCTTAATTCTTTACATGGTTCTGGATAGACCATTTCGATACCGGGTTTTGATTATGACTCACATGGCTGTGGGTCAAAACCAAAAAACCCCTTTTTGGGGTAGGTGAACTCACCACCCATTTTAGGACATATTTTAGTGGGGATTGGGATGTTCACGGGGGGGCAACCGGGATTTTGACCCATGGAGCCACTATGGCGTTGGGTTCATCAGGAGCTGGACGCAAAGCACTTCCGCGAGCTGGTCATGGCCTTTGCGGCAGGAGGCGAAGCAACCGCCTCGAAGACATTTCTTCGGGTCTGGCCGAAGTCCAAGTCGAGAGTTGTTTTTGTTGTTTTTTCCCGAGTTTCTCTGGGGGTGACCCCTAGTTCCTGTCGGCTTATTCTACTTTTTGGATTGCATTCGCACTCACTGGTGCAAAAGGGATGTCGTCCATTGAGCGACTCAGTGAACGGGTTCCAGCAAATAAGTTTGATCGGATGCCACACACACACACATACTCGCACACGCGATTGTATTGTGCTGCAAGTGATTGAATCCGTTTATTTGATTAGACCCCCAGTTTAGAGCGGTGATTTGCCCATGAGCATCACCCGCAAGAATGTATAGTGTAGTGACCTCAAGAAGGGAATTTTTGAGGTCCAATGGAGGGTCCAATGAAGCTTTCGAAACCAACACAAAAACAGTGGCTCTATCCTCAGCCGGCTTAAGTTGAAGAGCCATGTTCCGTTGCTGTCAGCAAAACCTTTGTTGGCACAAGGGAAATAGCATACGGAAGGGGATATTGAGAGGGTCGGTCTCTAGAGTTCCGTCTCTACAGTGCCCTATTGTTTTTGTTGGGTCAAAATGGGTCAACGTCAAAGTAGACCCGTAGAAGGTACGCAGGGCCCGCCGGCGGGGCTCTGTTTTCCCAAGGTTCGACTCTTTTCGCGGGTCGGTTCGGCCAACCCAGTCCCAAAGTGGCTTGTGTCTTGAAACGAGGTTTGGTCAACAAGTCCCAGTAGTCCATGGTCCATTTGGGAGGGACGACTCAACAAACAAATCGGACACACCAAATGTTCCATGTCCTTTGGGGATAAGTAATTTTCATCATGGCCCGTGTTGGTTTGTGCAAGGGAAACCAACAGGCAAAAAGAGTTATTTTCACGGACCTCTATTTGAGAAATACCCCCACTTCACGCCAGACGGTCGTGGAATTGGTGGTTTTGACATCGGACACGAGGCATGTTCTTACTGGCTTCCTCTAAACCAACAGTCCTCTTTTGGTCCCCTGTAGCTTTGGTGCATTTTGCTTGGATGTTAGGAATTTAACTTTTTGTGCCAACTAATGGGTTTTCCATTAAGCCACTAAACGTTAAACTGAGCTTTCTTTGGGGGTGGATGCAAGCACCCCTAATCCCTTGCAAGTTCGGCAAGCCTTCAACCACCCAGGGCTTAGGGCGACGTAGTGGGAAAATGCCGAGCTGGGCCGCACTGGCCTACACAATTGGAAGACGAGCTACATGCACGAGGGCATATTGCAGGATGCAATAAAGCTCAAATCAGGCCATTCTACGGGGCGTACGAGAGGCTTGGCTCGCCTTCCAAGCAGGAGCTGATTGATTTCACTTCCTTCTGTGAACTCCTGGATGAGTTTCTTTCTCGGATGGCAAAAGATCCAGCATATCAGCTTCCAGGAAACTCGCGAGTCGCGAGAGTGTCCAAAAAGCTGAACTTTTACGAATCCAGCAAGGTCCACGGGGAAGACCACGAACTCAGGACGAGAGCAGTATACGCTAGCTGCATTGCGCGCACTACGCTAGCTCGCTGTGTGATGGGAAAACTATTTGCACGCGCTCTGTGTGCACCTCTGTCCGGAGGCGGTCACGCTAGTATTATTACTATTATTATTATCATTATGATTACTATTATTATTATTAGTATTATTATTTATCACTATGAATAATATTATTAATGTTTTTTTTTTTTTTTTTAATGTATTTATTTTATTTATTTATTTGTTTATTTGTTTATTTTTTGTTATTTTTTTTTCCTGTTTGTATTTTCGCAGCACTCCGAAACCTGCAGGGCCGAAAGCGGGGAAATGGAAGATCGCGGAGACCGGTGGTCCAACTGCCCATGGCCCCTCTTTGGCAACTGACGGTCCTCCAATTTTGGTGGGTCTCTTCCTCGAATTGGTTTGTGTCGCCTGAGAAAGGTTTCCCTTGCCAGGATCTCTGGGCAAACCAAGCGTTCTAACCACGACCAAAAAAAGATAACTGCGACGAACAAATAACTACGACAAAAACAAGCGTGAGGTTTCAACCAACGCCAAGGGTTTTCGTTTCGCCCTCGAAGCGAGCGAAAACGAGCAGGCGCTTGCCTCATGGCGATCTTCGGCACCTTCCGCGGCTGGTCCCAGGCGGGAGGGGCTTTTTAAACGACCTCATGGGCTGGTAAACGTGAAGCGTCCGGTGCCTTAGGTGTTTTTGGTTGGTTCTTTGGGGTTTAGTGGCTGGGTTTCCATGTAGCCAACTGAAAGGTAAAAACTCTTTACGACTTTTAGCAGGGGATCTGAGGACAGCTTAGTATTTTGCGCTGTTCAAAGTCACCCCCCCCAAGTAGATGAAAGGGGACCACCCCAGTTTCTGACTCTGATACCCCCAAACCCGGTCAAACGAATGAGCACAGTGCGGGGTCAGTTTGACTATTTTGGGGGCAAGTCAGAAATTGGTCGGCTGTTTCTTTTCAACCTGCAACTTGGGTGACTTTGACACTGCTCAAATCATGCGGCCAGGGCTTATGGTTACATTACACTACCCAGACGACCTGTGGGCAAAACCCGTTGATGAGAAACAGCCAGAAAGAGAAGGTGCCAAGTCGCTAAAGATCATTCCTCATTGAGATCCCCGGCTATGAAAGGGAACAATCAGCAGATACAAGCCTCAGCCTTATATCAAGCAACCTTTAGTTGGTGGTTCGGATTGGATTTGAACCCTTGGTTCTTGTAGCGGGTAAATGGGAAACCCTCCCCATTTCACCAAACCACCGGACTTTTCCCATTTGAGACACATCCTTGAAGGCCACTCTCCCCCCAGTCTAATTGTTATTTAACCCTCTCTCTCCTCACTTGCCCAGTGGCGCCCTTTTTCCCCTTTTTTTGGGAAGGGTTCCCCTTTCAACTCAACCAACCACAAAAGGATGCCTTTTTTTCCCATTGCCACTGGGCATCTGAGTCTCTCTCCCCCTGGTTGCACGAGAGCCTTCAGGAAAACAACGCCACGCCGTCGTCCGCAGGGCGCTGCTCGCACGGACGGGAGCGCATCATCTCGCACGCGCGGGACCCGGCCGTGGTCGTTCGAGTCGCCGTTGGCGCAACGCCCAGGGTGGCTGTCCTTAGTCGTGAACCCTTGACTTCTTTCTAGGGGTTGATGGGGTTGAAGCCTCCACTTCTTTCTAGCTTGCCCGACATATCCCATGTTTCTGGGGTTTTGATTCCTTTTCCATTATTTTCAACCATCGTTCTTTTCAGGAACCGGCTGTTTCCCCTGGGATTTTGATGGTTTCCTGGAAAGAAGGATCCCTGGAAAGAATGGAAATGGAAGGTACCCCTAGATTCTTGGGAAACTGCGTTTCAATTCCCAAGCAGGGAGCCACCAGACAGAAGGCAAAGGATTGGTTCACAGGAGAGTCCTTGGGAAGTGAGGGGGGTGTTTGCCAAGTTGGAGAAGCTTCACCGCGGGGTAGGCAACTCTACTCTGCTCGAGCCTCGAGACCAGGTAAAGTTCAACCTGTATCCATGGTGCCGGAAGTCAGAGCAAATCAACCATACTCAGCCGTCTCCGGCAAGATTGCCTACGAATTTCCATGTGTTCAAAGATACTTGTAGTTGCCTTGGTTTTAACGGCACCTGATTGAATCTTGCTGGCATCAACTTGACGGAGAGGAGCGACGCCTGCTCGGAGGTCCGATCGGGCTTTTAGACCTGGCACTAGGGCAGGGGTACGTCAGTGGTTACTTGGTGACTCCCAGCCATCCGATTCCTTAGTTTTTTACATCCTTTTAGTTGGTTTAGTGGTAGTTTCCATTCAAGCCACTAAAAGTTAGCCACTTTTAGCGGATCAGAAAACGGGCAGCCCAGGTTAGTAAGCATTGTCTACCCACCAAAGCCATGGTTCTATCTTGCATGGACATCCTGAAGCAGCCCTTTTGACACAGATCCGCCCACAACGCGGGGCTCGGATACCATTTCCGGGCTCTTGCGTTCTAACAAAAAAAAAAAAAAACAGCAGAGCAAGCAGCGCGCCCAAAATTTGGGGGGCTATCCCGAAAATGGGCGCAGCCCCTGCGTTTACACAAAATCGAACCAACAAGCAGCACACAAGACCCAGCGTCCGAGGATCTCTAGAGCGGGCGGGAACGCTCCCGCCGGGCACTCAGACTGTTGGAGCGCCGCAGGTGACAAGGTTTTGTAGCCCAGAAAAGGTTCTTGGAACCAGACCTCCCGTTGCAGGTCCTTCCCGCTTTGTTTTACAGGAAGAGCCCTTGACATCAACTACCAACACAAAGGAGTTCCGATATTTTCTCTCCTAGATGGTGGCTATTCAATCACTTTTTGCAGGTTGGAAGATAACCGACCATTTTGCCCAAGCTCAAGTCGAAGGATTTACTTATTAGTCAAGAAAGCGTGGCTTACTTCCTGGGCGTTCTCACACTCCGGCACATGCGTGGCGCGACCTGCCAACTGTTGGCGGGAGATTCCGGAAACCTTCGAGGCGGTTCTTCGAGTTCAGCTTTCTCGGGGGTGTTGTCTCTCCCTCAACTATACGCGGGGGAGGTCACAAAGGGGCTGATCAAAGGCTTCTCGTCGAGCCTTTCCGGGATCAGGGGTGCCCATTTTGTTTGTCCCCAAACTCTATGCAGGGGGGGAGGGCATAATTACCAAGAAAGGTGCCTTTTCCCATCCATCTGCAGAAAATGTGGTGCAAGGGAAATCATGTATGGGGGGGTGGAGGGGGGGGGACGCTTTTCCCAGTTGAAGAGATCTTGTCCTTCTGACAGGATCGGAGTAGTGGAGTAGTGGACATGAGATTGGATAGTTTAACTTCAATGATACCACTCGGCCACTCGGGAGCCTTTACCCTCGCAAGCGAAGAATCGAATCATGGCCACCGTGGTTATTCCCAGTGGTTGCACAAGCCTGGTTGTGCCATATGGGGAAATCGTCATGAAAAAAGCACATTGGTTGTGATTCCCACATCATCCCACAAACCAGGTTGGCTGGCCAAAGTCTCTAGAAGATTATCGGGTAGACATTTGGGGGTTGTCTCAAAATGAGATGGTGGCAGCGGTGGTAAGTCTTTTGGTGACCCTTTGAACCAACCTTAAAAGGGGTACCCTCAAGAAACCGAAAGACACGCCCATTTCTTTTGATTCCTTGCGCTTCCCTTTAATTATAGTCTTTTGGAGCAAGTCTCTATCATAGCAATCGTTGCTATGGCTCACAGAGGGCGGCTTTACAGAGAATCCAACAGGAAAATAATCCAAATTTTGTTGGGTCCCCCTATTGTCAGACAGGATTAAAGAGAGTTTTGCCTGGGAATCGACTGGCCAATGTGAGGCGGACACATCCAATGGCGAGTATTGCGAGAAGCTGAGAGATGGGCTCAAAGTGGATTGAGGATTTCTGGCTTTGGCCAAAGATTTTGCCCGTTCCCAAACCACTTGATTCTCTACTCTTCGCAGATTTGAGATATGTTTTTGAGATTCTTGTTGTACTTTGACTGGCTGGGTTTAAGGGACGAGCAGGGGATGACCATTTGCCCACTTACCAATGAGCGAACGAGCAAAATCGAGGTTTCCAATCCCCAATCAGTTGCATTTTGAGGTTCTCGAAATATGGACCTAAAATGAATGAAACGGCCCGGTTTTGGGCGGCGAAGGGTAAGGTTGATTTTCGCCAGGCGGGGTCCCCTTCAAGCGGTCCGTTTCATGTTGTTTCCTCTTGGGGCAATTCCCCAAAAAAAGATGTCCTTTTCGGGATTATATCGAACCAGTCTGGGCAAATGCAAACGACACCAGGAGCTAAAATGAGCTCATCCGTGATGAAGGTCCTTTATTGAGGGGGTCCATGTTTAGGTTTGTGAATTAGCGCAATTTGCCCAGTGCAAGAGTTCCCAGACAGTTTTTTTTCCGAATCTTCGAGTCATTGCAGTTGCCGGGCTCAACTAGCATTCTTGCCCTTTTGCTGGTTTGGGTTGTCTTCATTGTTCGTTTTAACCAGCAAACAGTGGTTGTTTGCAGGAGGTTGGCTCCGTTCGGTCAAGGAATGTGAGGATGGTCCTGCTTGTGTGGTTGTCAAGCATATTGGGGTGGGTGGGGGCGCAACCCCTGATCAATGCACCCGATCCAAATGCATGGGCCCATGCTAGTTTCATGTCCTGGTGTTTGGTTTGGTAGCAGCATCGTGTATACCAAGCGGGGTACGTAGAACGTTCAGTTAGGTGCGGGGATGCCAATCAACGTCTGGCCTGTTTCGGCGTTTTGTTGTTGGTTCAAGAGCTTTGCGCAGAAGGCTCGCTAGGCCGCCTTTGGTTACCCTTACACAAACAGAAGTCTCCAGCGAACCCAAGTGGCTTGGGGCTCGCACGCCTTGGCCCAGTCTTGGTGGCCGACGAGCACGAGACGGAGCGCGGGTCCTCAGGAGTCCAAAGCGAAATTGCGTTTGACTCCAAATAGGTAGGAGTGTGTGTGTGTGTGTGTTGCTTTGAGGGTACCAACTTTTGAGGGTGATTGGACATCAAAAGAACAACCACCATTCTTTTTTGTTTGGGTGTGTGTGTGTGTCCCAAATTGCGACACAGAGCTCGAATGTATTGCCAGACTGAATTATTTGTTTGAATCTTTTTGCCTATCTTGTGGTTCGTTTCTATCTTTTCAACCGCAACAGGTTGACTTTTGGGGGTCTAAGCCTGGCCCATTCAGGAACCTCAATGGGTCTCGTTTTGAGCCAACGACCAAACAGAGTAGCCGCAAGAAACGACACGCCCGTGTGCTTTCAGGCAGCAAACCCCTTGTCCGAATGTCATCAAAACGGCCTACTGCAATGTAGCCTGCGACTCAGGCAAGACGTTCGGACCCTGGCCCCATCACTTGGCCGGCTATGGCCATAGCGATAACCTACTTGGATGAACATGCCAGAGCCCTCACTAAGGTTCTCACTTCCCGGGGTGATTGACTTTGTTGAATGCCATGTTCAGTCTCTATGAGCCGCCAGAGAGACCATCCTCTGTCCTGAGTTTTGTTCCTCATTCCAAAGGCCCGCACAGGTTTCCGCCTGCTCCAGGGTCAAGTAGTTTTCTTTGATTTTGCGAAATTTGTGTTTGCATAAGCCAACAGTCAGGTTGCCCTTCATGGGTGGCTAGGATTGGTCTGGGTGAATTATAACGAAATCACACGACCTCACCCCAAATGGTGGTTTATGTGGGGAATATCCCTCCCAACCACCTAGTTTCAGGTTGGTGAAATATTATAAATTATAATTCACCCCAGATCGGTGGTTTGGGTTGAACATCCCCCGGCTTTTTCCGGGGAACACCTCCAAACGGGGCTGAAGACGATCAGGCTGCCCTGGGCCCCTCGGCACATGGAGCACATGGAGATGGAGGACCTCAGCTGAGAGCTGAGGCGAGGTCTCGGCGTGAAACTTTGCAAATCCAGGTCCCCCAGCTAGGTGCCCTTCTCTCCCCCCTTTTTGGTTGGGAGATTCGGTTCCCCTACCAAAATAAACTACAGAGAAAGAATCGGGTACCCTTATTCTAACCTCTGGAGGACCTAGTCATGATGAAGGTTTCAGACATCCCCGAAATGGGTGGGGTCTTCCTTTTGGCGTCCTAGGGCGGCCCGCAACAAACCCTCGACACTCGGGACACAGCCGTAGTTTTTTGGCCCATGGGCCACTGCTGGAAAAGAAAACCACCTACAAAACCCTGGTATGATGATTTGCCGGTAAACACCAACAAACGTTATAGTTGCCAACCATGGTGACTCAGTTCGTGGTGAAAACAAACAAATTTCTATTTTGACCATCCACAGTAGGTTTGCTGGGTTCTCGCCAGTTTTGCTGGGAGTCCATTCGATGGAAGGCCGGTGCCGTTTCGAGGACTCCCTGTTCTCGCCGTTTGGATTGCCAGCGGCAGTTTTAGTTTCCAGCAACTGTGACTGTTTGTTTTTACGGTGACATGGTGTGAAATGCCTAGGGCGAAGGCAGGAACTTGGCGATCTGGGTTTCCTTTTTGCCTGAGGCTCCCTTCCAGTTTCTGCTTTTGTACTACTGTCAACCCGAGGAAGGGCTCCGATTCTTTTTTACGGTGTCACCGAGCGAGTGGCTCATGTCCTATTGGTTTCCTTTTGGTTGAATGGGTTTCCTTTTGGTTGAATGGGTTTCTAGTACAGCATGGTCAGGTTTCAAAGGCGGGTAGTCACCTATGTCATCTCCTCAAGCCAGCAAGTTCTTGAACTTGAAAGAACGTTAAAGGGGTCCTAAGAAACGTTCAAGCAGGGATTTGGAGGAGACGGCAACAAGCGCTGTGTGGCTTTCACACGTTCGAGTGGCCCAAAGGCAGGATTCACAATGGCCAAAAGCAAGGGCGTATTGAAAACCGCCGTGTAGGACCAAACTCAGGGACTGCCACGTTGATACCGGATCAACAGGGAAGAGGGCGGTCCCCTCCGAAAGTGATGAATCATCACAAACGGACATCCCCCAATCAAAATCACGCAGGGGTCTATTGATCTGGGGTTTCGATTATATCAGAACTCGTTTAGGGGGTGTCTTGCTAGCCTGACCATCCCATCACCTATAGAAAGCTGGCTGGCTGCTTTTTGGTTCAGCTGTCAACCGCTTTGTTTCTCTCAAGCATACTGTTCCCCAAGTTGCCTCTTTCCCACAATTCTGGAAGCGGACAGGGAGATTGAACCAGGTTTCCCCAATAGCGTCTTCCCTCACCTTTTCAGCTCCCATTCTTCCGTCGGGTTCACCATGTTGGTCATTGCGTACCCCTGCTCCCAAACTTCCCCCTCGCGCCTCCGAGGTCGGGTTCTGGGTTCGCCGAGTATCCCCACCCGGGAAGGGGGGTTGACCCTGGCCCCTTAAGAAGGGGGGATGGTATACTCTCATTGACTCATGGGGTTGCTTTTTAGGAGGAGGTCCCCCTTAAAGGTCGGGGGGGGGGGGGTGGTGGGGAATGATGTTAGGTCCCCCAGCTTAGGATTTGAACGAATGAGCCCCGGTGACCATTTTTGGGGCGATTTGGAGGCGTCAGACATGACGCCTGGTGCCGGGGCCCCAGGTTGCGTTTGCTTTGGATCCTTGACCCCGGATGCTTCCCTGCGCTGACGCTGATCAGCGACCTAGATCCTTTTCCTTTTTGAAGCTCTCCAGGAAATTTCCCTGGGAGTTTCCCTTTTTGGGTTTCCTTGTCGATTCCTCCCCTTTTGGGTAGGGGGGCTGTCCCAAATCAGTGGGCTGCTTCGTTGCAACCGGTGGTTGATCAACAAGCGGTCCTGCTGAAGAGGGGAATGTTTCACTTTGGGGAATGCCCCGCCCTTCCCGCTAGTGCGGCAGGTTGATTGTCCCAGGCGACACTACTTACCTGTTCAGTCAAGCCGAATACTCGCGCTGATGTACCCCTGATAAATCCCACAAGCTCATTCAAGGCGATTACCCCCACTTTCTGGCACGAATTGATTTGGCTTTCCGGGAGCAAGTTAGGAAATGGATTGCCATTCATTGCGCACCGAGCAAAGGAGTCCATTTTCGAGCACTGGTCCTTCACCCCTCACTAGGGTCAGTCACGTAGGCCCAGATGGATACGCATGGCGCATTGGAGGCTTCCGAGTGCATCATCCACAACCAAAACCTGGTGGGAGGCCTGTTGTAGGACGTCTGATTTGTTCGGTAGGTGATCTATAAGCATTTTTCCCTTGAAAGTTCCCTACAAAGTCCTGACATTTCGGGTTCTATCCTTGGGACATTTGTGACGGCGTCGTTGGCTGGTGGATTCTTCGGGTAAAAGTTGTAGGGAGCAGTCCCGAAATTTCGGGTTCTATCCTTGGGAAATGCACGTTTTGACACTTGTTTGTGACGGTGTTGTTGGCTGGCGCATTCTTCGGGCGGGTACTGCGGCACTGATGCCCAAAAGCGGACAGCCACCTATCGATCAGACTGGGTGTAAATTTGAAACCTGCCCAAAGAAACACAATGCCCACTTGCCCAGTGGTGCCCAGTTCTTCCCTTTTTTTTGGGGGGAAGGGTTCCCCTTTAAACTCAGCCAACCCAAAAAGGATGCCCTTTGTTTCCCATTGCCACATCTGGGAATACCCTTGCGGGCTTGCAAGCAGTGGCCTCGGGGTAGATCGTTAATTACTCTCCTTCCGCGCTCCTCCGCCCTTGGCCTGCTTGAGTAACACCCTGGCTCATACTGATCTCCAAACGGAGTTTGCAAGGATCTCATTTGTTTCTTCTAGTCCAAAGGTCCCCGGGCCAATGCTGCTTTTGCGCTTCTTTGGGTAGGACACATGAGCTTCCTCACCTCCGTTTTCTGCATTCACCTTTCACTTCCTCTGGCTCCCGAGAACCCAAGCCCAGGCGCCAAAGTCGCGAGCCAGATTGAGTTATCGAGCAGCGGCCAGCATTGAAAGTGTATGGCGTCAGCTACCAAACTGCCATGCACTGATGCATGACCACTTGCACAAAACATGGGTGCCCCTTTTTCCAAAAGCCTGCGAAAGACTCCTGGGCCAACAGGCATGGCGCAGGAGCACGCACGATTTTTATGGCAATGTTTGGTGCCGCGAGCTCGTCATTCCCCTGCTTGAATCATTTGCACTGGAGATCCAGGAGATGCCCGTGAAGGGAATGCGCCAACATGGGGTGGACGTAGGGTCCCAACAATGGTTTGCTTAGTTTCCTTTTGGTTTTCCAAATTATGGGTAGACCAAATATAGAGCAGGTAGAGAAAATATATTTTTGTTGGTGTATCCCTGGTGTTGTGGGCCAAGAAAAGGGGAATCATTGAATCAAAGCAGATCGACCTTGGAACCTGCTCAAGCGCAGATCCCTGGCTTGCACCCCTTGTTTTTCCAAGACTTCTGGGAGGGGTTGACCCCCAGAAGCGCAGGACCAAAATGCCGCATGTTTGCTCAACCCGCTTAGGTTGTAAATACGATCTTGAGTAAATGGGTCGGTCTTATTTTTTCATGGTCACATGCATGGGTTGAGCGCTCAGGTGAAGCTGGGGCAAAGTAGATGGCACAGTTTTCTGAAGAAGGTTCAGTCATGCCCTTAGCTTCCCCACAAAGCACTGGTGCCCAGCCACAAAGAACGGCTGGGGTCTCATCCAAAACTAATTTGTACTTCAGGGAAGACTAAGTATGAAACAACATCTGACGTTTTTTCGTTTGTTTAATGATTCTCTGTGTACCGCAGATGTGGGCCAAGCACAAGGTTCCGCTTGAGCTCTCTCGCCGAAGCTGTCGGCGTCTCCGGATCTCGTGGAATCGAGGCATCCCAAATCTCCCCCAAAGGAGGGGAGCCTCTTCTCACTCGAGGCGAACTTCTTGGCCCGGGCGGGCCAGTTGGTCCGGCAAAACATGGCAGGTGAGCCACGAGCAAAACTTGGGTTCCCGGCCATCCGGTTCCTTAGCTTTTTAGGTTTCTTACGGTTTAGTGGTTGGGTTTCCGGTTTACCCACCTAAAAGTTAGACTTTTGAAGCAGGGGAACTGAGGATTGGTTGAACCCAGCCGCGGTAGCACTCCGCAACCCCGTCTGAACTATTTGTCAGTGTTTTTGTTGAGGGCCTCTTTTTGGGGTGGTAGCGGGAAACTACAGGGAAAACCACCGACTTTTGGGGTCCCCTGTTTTAAGACACTCCATGCCAAACTGTATGTATGCTAAGAGTATTACTTGTTTGCTTTTGCTGTTGCGGCAGTAAAGGATGCAATTCTTACGGCTTTGCCACTTGGCTCGTTGTTTGTGTGCTATGGGTCGAAGAGCATGGACGATATGCATGATGAGCAGCCTTTGATAGGGTTCAAAATTATGTTGCTGTCCCGTCCCTCGAACAAAACGCAGCCCCCCCTAATAGAAAAGCGATTAGTGTTTTGTTTTATTAGTATTATTATTGTTCGGGTGGGGGGGGGGGGTAGGAGTCAAAAACCGAGTGCCTTCAAATTGTAGGGAGGTCCACCAAAAGGAACAAACCTTCGAGAATGGAACACACCTTCTGGTTTAAACAAGATCAATGGTGCACTTGTTGTCGTTTTTGGTCTTGGACTAATCTCCTCCCCCTCTTAATGAATGACCCCCATTAAGAATAAATGCAAATCCGGGGCCCAAGGCCAGATTTCCACTCCGCACAATTGATTTTCCATTGCGCCAATACTAAACCAATACTAAAGTCTTGGAATCCGTATTAGGGGGCACTTTTAGCAAGCTTCCAGCCTCACTTTTCAAAAGGTGGGTTCCTCAATTCCCCAAAAGGTTGCTTCCCCAAAAGCTGGCTTCTCAAAAGGTTGGGTTCTTTTGGTGGGTTCCCCAAAAGGTTGTTCTTGACTCTGTTGTCCCTGGCTGTCCCTCACTCCCTGGCTGGCTGCGTTTGTCACCCTCACATTGTTGG